GTGTGTCATTTAAAGTCTTTATTTCCTTGTTGATCTTTTGCTTAGATGATCTGTCCATTTCACTGAGGGGGGTGTTAAAGTCCCCCACTATTATTGTATTGTTGTCGATGTGTTTTTTGCTTTTGTTATCAATTGCCTTATATAATTGGCTGCTCCCATGTTAGGGGCATAGATATTTACAATTGTTAGATCTTCTTGTCGGATAGCCCCTTTAAGTAGGATATAGTGTCCTTCCTCATCTCTTATTACAGTCTTTGTTTTAAAATCTAATTTGTCTGATATAAGAATTGCCACCCCAGCTTTCTTTTGGTGTCCATTAGCATGCTAAATGGTTTTCCACCCCCTCACTTTCAATCTGGGGGTGGGCATGTTTTCAACATTATGTAGGATGTGTTAAAACTTTGTCCTTTTTCATGGCTAAATAATATTCCAGCATATATATATGCCACATTTTGTTTATCCATTCATCTGTTGATGTACACTTGAGTTGCTTCTACCTTTTGTCTATTATGAATAATGATGCTGTGAACATTTGTGTACAATTATCTGTTTGAGCTCCAGTTTTCAATTCTTTTTGGGTATATACTTGGAGTTGAATTAATGAGTCATATGATAATTCTATGGTTATTTTGAGAAACTGAGAAGCTGTTCCACAGTGGCTGTACCATTTTACATATCCACCAGCAATGTACAAGATTCAGTAACGCTTGTTATTTTACATGAAAAAAATAGGTATTCTAGTAGGTATAAGGGAGTATCTCATTGTGTTTTTGATTTGCATTTCTCTAATGACTAATGATGATGTTGAGCATCTTTTCATGTGCTTATTGGCTGCTTGTATATCTTCTTTGGAGAATTTTCTATTCAAGTCCTTTATCCATTTTAAATTAGATTGTTTTTGTTGTTGTTGTTGAGTTATAGGTCTTTATATATTCTAGATATTAAGTCCTTATCAGATATATGATTTGCAAATATTTTCTCCCATTCTGTAGGCTGTCTTTTCACTTTCTTCATAATGTCCTTCAAGGCACACAAGTTTTTAATTTTTGATGAAGTCCAATTTATTTTTCGTTCTTTTTGCCTGTGTTTTTGGTGTCGTATCTAAGAATTTAGTGCCATACCCAAAGTCATGAAGATTTGCCTTTATGTTTTCTTCTAAGATTTTATAGTTTTAGCTCTTACATTTAGGTCTTTGATCCATTTTGAGTGAAACTCTTATATGGTCCAAGGGTCCAATTTCTTTCTTTTGCATGTGAAAATCCAGTTATCCCAGAACATTATGTTGAAGGGATTATTCTTTACCTGCTGAATGGTTTTGGTACCCTTCTTGAAATAAAATGACCCCAGATGTGTGGGTTTACTTTTGGACTCTCAATTCTATTCCACTGGTGTATACAACCATCCTTATACCAGTACCACACTGTTTTGATTAGTATAGCTTTGAAGTTGGTTTTGAAATCAGGAAGTGGGAGTCCTCCAACTTTGTTCTTCTTTTTCACGATTGTTTTGGCCATTTGGATTCCTTCCAATCCCATATGAATTTGACAACTGGCTTTTCTATTTCTGCAAAAAAGGCTACTGGAATTTGACAGGGATTGTTTTGAATCTGTAGTTTGCTTTGGTAGTATTAACATCTAAACAATATTAAGCCTTCCAATTGATGGATAGGTGATGTTTTCCCATTTATTTGGGTCTTCTTTAATTTCTTTCAGCAGCATTTTGTAGTTTTTAATGTACAACTCTTTTACCTCTTTTCTTAGGTTTAATCTCCAATATTTTATTCTTTTGCCAGTTATTATAGATGGAATTGCTTTCTTAATTTCCTTTCCAGATTGTTCATTGGAAAAGCATTTTTTATAATACCAATTTCATCTCTTAGGAGTTTTGAGAAAATATGCCTTTCATTAAGACTAGATAATAGCTTTATATATTAATTAAGATAATACTAAACTTGAAAAAAAAAAAAGAGAATCTGTGAAGTTAGAATCAACAGAGCAGAAAGGTCCCCTCATTCATTCCCCTATTTTAAGCTAGAATGTGTTAGATGACAGTTGAGAGTAACTTTGAGCACCTGAAGTGATGGGCAGCGCTTTACCTCCTTAGGGAGTCAGGAGTCAGATAAAGGCTCACGGCTAGGAAGTTCTTATATTGAGTTGAAATAGTTTCCCTATAGTTTCCACCCTTTGGTTCCAGGTCTATTAACCTAAGGACCTGCACAAATCAGTCCATGGCTGTCCTAAAGTACTGTGCCCCAAACAAACCTACTTCTCAGTGCTGTGCTCTGACTATGGCACAGCAGAGCCAGATGATCAGCTTCCTCCTCCTGGACATTATAGTCCCATTAATTTAACACTGGAATGGAAAGTCCTAATTATACCATATTGGTTTACAGTTATATTAAATTGACATATGACTACATTTAGACATGTAATGAAAAAGTAAGTTTTATAAATGAAGTTGCATTTCAAGTGAAATATTAAGAAAGCTGGATATGATTTTGCACAGCTTAATTTTAGCACCTATACATTTAGACTTTGTAAAAAGAAATGTATAAAGCAGAGGGCACATTTAACATATTTTGCATATATCATTTAAGATGCTCCTGTTTACAGATGGAAGATACTATTTTATTTTTCCATAGACAGGTAATTCTAAAGTGTAATGTTTTCTTCTTATTTATTAAAAGAAAGAGAGTTGCCTTTCATAAAAATGTGTACTCACAGCTTGAAGTGTTCCTGAATAAACAGGTTCATTTAGGAGGACATTATCTCCAGGATTAACCATCATTTCAAACACCTAACAAAAGAAGCATAGGTTAGTTTGGATAGTATTCTTTCCATTCTTAGAATGCCTTTTTTATAGTTTGAGCTCACTAGGATTCTAGAGTAGGAATTGGTAAATTTTCTGTGAAGTACCAGATGGTACATATTTTGTGGGCCATAATATCTCCATTGCAACTATTTATCTCTGCCTCTATAATGAGAAAGTTGCCAAAGACATTATATAAACCAATGGGTGTGGCTGAGTTCCTATAAGACTCTATTTACAAAGTTAGATGAGGGCTGGATTTGGCTCTCAAGCCATAGTTTCCCAAACTCTGTTCTAGGGTAAGATAACTGGTTTGGCTCCTAAAATTCACTTATGCCTTTTATTCCTTCTTTGAAAATTCATTAAATATTTACTATAAGCCAAGCCTGTGTATGGTATGGAGACAAAATGATGAGCATAGCAACACGGTTCTTATCCTCATGGAACTACTAGTCCAATGGGAAAGCTAGACACTAATCAAATAATTACGCAAATAAATGTATATTTAAAAACAATGGTGAGTGCTATTAAGTATAGATGCACAATGTTATAAGGGCTCATTGTAGGAGGACTTGGGCATTCAGGGAATTCAGGGCATCAGGGAAAGCTTCCTTGAGGAAGTGATGAGTTGGTATAGAGGATCACAGTAGGTACACTTTGAGAAACTGAAAGAATTCTGTGGCTTGAAGGGGAAATATAAAAAGGAGGGTGGAGTGAGATCAGACAGAAGTAGGCAGAGAAATACCATGTAGACATTCAAGCCACATGAGGCAAGTAAGAATTTCAGGTAGAGGCTGGATAGGGAGAGTCACATTATCAGATATTCATGTTGGGAAGATCACTCTGCCTTCAGTATGAAAGAATGAAAGATGAGTGAGAATATATGTGGAAAGTCTGGGAAGTTGGAGGATTATCTGGAATGTTTTTGCTGCAGTTCTGGGGAGAGATATGGGTGTAGCCTGACAGACACTGATGATGGAATTGGAGAGGACTGAGATGTATTTAGGAAATCCAAACCAACAGAACACAATCATGGATTATAGGAGAGTGAGGAAGAGGAGGCATGAAGAATGACTCCTAGATTTCTGGCCACAGAGCTAGACAGATGGAGGGAGTGAAGCTGTTCACTGAAAAAACAGAACCACAAACTCTCAGGGAGGGACAAGGTGATGAGTGTGTTTTGGTTTGAGATGCCTTTGAAACATCCTGTCACGGCGCCAGGTAGACAGATGGGACACATGGATTTGGAAGGAACTTGGAAGTTATTAGCATATGATCAAGCGCATGGGTGTGAATGGAGGTACCCAGGGAGAGTGTGTGGATTAAGGGGAGAAGAGTTTCTGAGGACTGAGCATTGAGGAACTCTTGACAAATGATGGATGTGTAGAGGAGGAGGGCACTGCAAAGGCAGGACAGTTGGGCCAATGAGATATCGAGAGAAGCAGAGAAGAATGTTTCAGGAAGGATGGGAAGATCAACAATGTGAAAGGATATTTAAGGACAGGCTTGACAAATCTTCAGAGATTCTGCAGACAATATGATCTAGACAATAGATAGCAAAGGGGTCTATTATGATGAAATCTTACATAATTCATGGAATCATCTTTTCTCTCCTTATGGTGTGTCACAATCATCAGTTCAAGCCTCTCCTTCCTATCATTTTAACAACCTGTATCTCATGACAAACAGTATGGCCATTATCAATTGAGATAGACGTTCTGGATTTTGTTTCCCAGTTTGGCCTAGAATGTTCCCTTCATCTTTTCCTTATGAGCTTTTGGCATGTTATGACAAACAGTATCTTCCTCCGAAAAGTTTCTAAGTGATTCAGGCTTTAGAGGACATCCTAGGACCAAACAAGTTACTTGGGTGGCATGTGTATTGCCAATAAATCAAAGGAAAACCTAATCACATACATTTTCCATGTCAATTAGGGAACATGAAAATGCCAAATATCCTAAATGAAAAGAAGGGCTGTTTATTATCTGGTAGCACTGTTTAACAGAGGTAGACAGAGACAGAGGTGCCTAACATAACATCTGTCTTGGCGAACAAACTGGAAGAACAGTAAAGCAGACCCCATGAAGGCCTCTGTAATAAGCGTGTCATAAGTGAGTTATTGGTGTATCTGGCCGTCTCTGCCATCTCCCTTTGTTATGACTGATGTTGTGAAAGATGATGAAGAAATTGTCTTGAGCATCGTTCTGGGAGAAAAGTTCATAGTATACCTTCCTAAGAAAAGAATTTAATTAAAAAGGACTTTTTCCATATTAATCTACAGAATCACAGATGTTTCTCTTCAAGCAAACACTCAAACAGTAGCTAATTCCCCCTTTTTTCCAAATTAAATACAAAGAGGGAGGAAAAATTATATTCTTATTACTTAAATACATTATTCTGTCACAATAATTTAAAATTCAGTAAAGCTAACTAGATTGCAGCTTTCACATTTTCCTAAAAAGAAAAACAAAGCTCCTCTGGTTTAAGACAAATAAGAGCCCTTTTTAGTCTATGGGGAGCCTGGGTGGCTCAGATGGCTAAGCGTCTGCCTTCATCTCAGGTCATGATCCCGGGGTCCTGGGATCAAGCCCTGCATTTGGCTCCCTGCTCGGCTGGGAGCCTGCTTCTCCCTCTGCCTCTACTGTTCCCCCTGCTTGTGCTCTCTCACTCTCTCTGTCAAATAAATAAAAATAAAATCTTTAAAAAAAAAGATAAATAAGAGCCCTTTTTAGTCTAGATGTGAAGACTGAATATAGAGAATCTTTATCTAGGACTAATTATTCGTGAAAAAGAAAAGAAAACAAGAAACACATGAGACTGAGAACCACTGGTGCAGTCTCTTGTGGGAACTCCCCAGGAGTGGTTACATCTGTGGACTTGCTGGAACCCAGGAGAGAGGCCAATGGAATAACTGAAAGAGAGAAAGAGAACTGAGAGAGAGAGAGAGGGGGAGAGAGAGAGAGAGAGAGAGAGGTAACAGGAGAACTAAGCCAGAGAGAAGTCAGGGACAGACACAGACCTAGATCTACAGAAGCACATCCAAGGAGACCAGATGTAAGCAGGGCTGAGCACAGATGACCTAAGCAGGCTGGCAAAGGAATGACATTTCATCTCAGGAGTATCAGGATATGTTTTCTAAAGAATTTAAAAATCCTAGTGAAACTTTGTAACTACATAAACCAAAATGTAACCTGAATCTCTAAGCCAGATGAAATTAAGCAGTGCTCATTAAGCTTCTGGTAGGAGTTGAGTACTTCCTTAAGGGGAATCTTGTTGTAATGACTCATAGCTCTGGGACATTAACCACATGATCTACATTTAAGAAAAATCCGGTTGGTGAATGTCTTTAAGTTCCCTGTTTAAAATTCTAGGTAAAATCGCTTCTCGGCCTTTTGGCTAAGACCAAGTGTAAAATTCTAGGTAAAGACAAGATAGACTACCAGTAACTCATAAAACATGACCCTCTCGTGGTCAGGTGAGAGATGACTCTATTTATGAACGTATTTGATTCTTAATTTGGGGTTCCCTTTCCATTCTGTCTTACCTTGCAAAGACCGTCTTGGCTGCCAGATGTTATGCATATGTCCATCTGTCCTTGGCTGGCTGGATAATTGATGGTGGGAGGATTATGCAATTTTACTTGTAACTGTTTTAGCCAGGACAACAGCTCTGGGATTCTAAAGCATAAAACATATTTTCAAATTTATAGTATTAAAAACCACTAATAATACTAGACAATAGTTAAATGGTAACTTTATGCCGAGCACTTTATTCATTCAATTTAAAAATCCTCAAACTTTTTTTGCCAATATTAATAACCCTATTTAAAAGACAATGCAACAGACTTACAGAAATCGACTCAGATTAAATGAGCTATGAATCTACATCTTTCTTATTACAAAGCCTATTCTTTTTCTTTTATATTAGAGCACTCACTGCATGATCGATTGTCTGTTCTCCTAGGAAAATTTCCCTAGGCTGCCTAGAAGTTCAGTCTCAAGATCTTTGTATCATGGAAGAAAAGCCTATAGTATATATTACATATAATTCATATATACATAACATGTTATATTTCAATATACTTTTCAATTACAGAAGAAGACTTTAATAAAGTATAATTTGTAGACACTCCATAAATTACCCTTTATCACTGGAAGAAGAACAGCTAGGAAAGTCATAAAGCATGTGTTCCAGCTTGCTTTTATGAATAGATAAAGAAGATGTGGTATATATATATATACAATGGACTATTATGCAGCCATCAAAAAACCGAAATCTTGCCATTTGCAACAACGTGGATGGAACTAGAGGGTATTATGCTAAGCGAAATAAGTCAATCAGAGAAAGACATGTATCATAGGATCTCACCGATATGAGGAATTCTTAATCTCAGGAAACAAAATGAGGGTTGCTGG